GAAAAATATTTTTTCCTTAAATTTGTATGCTAAGTTTCCAGAGATAATGTTTATTTAATGAATAAGATCAAGAATAAATAAATGAGGGGATTAAGTTTTGCATTCAAATCACTTCCACATTTGATCATTTTCCTTTCAGTTGGTTAAAAAAAATTTTGATTTCATTGTTTTTATTGAAAAAAAACACACATCCCTAAAAATCATTTTGTGTGTATGTGTATTTAAAAATGCATATCCCTCCCCTCTCCGCAAGAACTCTCAAATTCCAATCCATAAAACAATATAATGCCCAAAGTAAGGGCCCTGGACAGGGTGGCTCAGTGACACAGGGCTTGTTTCCAATCCCAGGAAAGCGGCCACTCTCAGGTATTCTCAGTTAATGGGTTACTTATTAGGGCAAAGGCTCTAAATGCCACCTCCCCAATCATACACGTCACTATATTTCACGTGTCAAAAGCTGATGCTTTTGCTTGGATACTGAAACCCGTTCATTCATTCAGGAGGTGCTTGTTGAGCCCTTGCTCATGTGCAAGCCTGCGTGAGGTTCCACGGTTGCCAAGTGAGACTTGGTCAACACCTTGCCGGTAGTCAGTGGTCCTGAGACTACACTGAATAACCTGTAAACAAAAGCCCCCTAATCATTTCCTAAATTTTGATTTAACCCAGAATCATTTTGCTTATAGATACAGAACAATTATCAGGGGAAATTGTACGATGCGGAGGTGTGGTTCTCTGTTCACACGGGGGGAGGTTTATGCTGGACAATGTTTGTAAAGTGATTAAGCATATTTTGACTCTATTTATAGGCTATGTTTTTGCTCCTGTGGAATATTAAATAGAACAATTTTTGTTTGGCTCTATTTATAACCCATGTCTTTTTTCTTATTAAAAGAATAAATAGAACTCTTCCACCCAGGTGCAGCCGTAGGCCCTTTACATGTTGTCTCAGGTTGCTTTCTGGAACTCACATCATACCTTCAATTTGGGGACTTATTCCCTAAAACAAGTATAGTGTAGGTTTTGTTAAATTAGCACTTTAAAAGGTCACAAGTAATAGGGTTGCCTTTCATCTGAAATTATTCAGTTTAAGATTCATAATATATACCAAGTATATTTTCTTTTTCAAATTGCGTCTGTTAGCATAATGATATTTGCTTTCTCTTTAAAGCATTTTTAAAAACTTCTATATTTACCACATTATCAAAGAATGATATTTATTAGGTGATGTTATTTGCTAAGTAGGGAGGAGTTAGCAGCAGGCCTGCAATGTTAGTTTAACTGACAAATCACATTTACCTTAATAGACCATGTTGTTATGCTCATTTTACGTAAGAATTAGACATTTTGATTTTTTACCAGTAAAGCCTTGTTATATATAAATATAGAAGAAAAGGATATTTGAGCTAGATCCCTGTTTAAATTATTTTAATCATATAGACATACCTATAAAATGTGTGATCTTGGGTATATTTTTGAAAATGGTTGGAATAAGAGTTAACTATTGTAACCTATTTTTTTTTAAAAGTTGTAGCTGAATCAATTTGCGTTTGTTTTTAGGTTATTGTTCCTTCTTCCCATAATAAACTGTTTTCTTATATACCATTTGATATTGCTATTTAATTATTTCTGTGAGTTTGTCTTCCTAGTAAAATCTATCTTTCTTGAAATAAGGGGCCTTGTCTTTAATATTAATGGTGTCTTCGGAAGTGCTCAGTTAGATCGTAGGCCTAGACTATTTGCTTGAAAATCACTTGCAAATTGTACTGAAGTTTAAAGAGAATGGCTAGCTTCCAGGCAGAGGGAGACAACCTGAGATATCATTTTAAGAGCTAACTGGCTGATCAGTGTGGGTCTTGGAATGCCAATTGAGAATAAAAATAGAATTGTCAAGACAACTATAATATTCATTGTTGGCCACTTAGCGCAGTTCTGTGCTAATAACTATGAGAAACTATTTTAAAATTGAAAGGTGATTTGAGCATAAAACCGGAGCAGGAAGGGCTATTGGATGCGCGAGCTGACTGTTGTGCTCAGAGGATGCCTGGTGCATTGGCCTCTGTCATAAGGGACTAATACCTGTGAGCATTGATAGGAAAGGTGGGAACTCGGGGAAGCCTTTCTATTGGATGGTCCTAGAGAGATGTTACTAAATTCTTGCTTCTCTACTCCTATTCCAGGCTTCATACAAAACACGCCGTGCCCATTAACCGAGCATTTCTTCATGCAGGTTAGAGTTGAATTGATGGAGCCTTAGCTAGTTCAGTTGAACTTTTTAAAGTCCACAGTCCAGGCATTTTAATTGGCATTTGAGGGTAAGTGGTTACTAGAACAACCCAGGCAATTCACAGATCATAGTTTTCCAACTCATACACTGTAAATTTCTTCAGGTGAATTTTCTAACTTATACGCTGTATTTTTTTCATAATTTCTTTTCGGGAATTTGTTCTCTTCTTTGTTTGGGCTGTATTTAGATTTACAGCCTAGAAAGACACAGTCAGGATTTTTCACCTAGTGAAGTTTGACATGTTATAAAATTATAGGCATAAAGCTATAGGCATCCTAGCTCAAGCAGATGACACCCCACTGGAGGGAAGTAGTCTCCCTACATAAAAGCTGATAGGGAATGTGTGTGCGCGCGCGCGCGCCCTCTCGAGCGCTATTTTTTTTAAAGTGCCTCAAATGGAAAACAACAATATTTTTCTATTGAAAACAGTTATGTTTGGCCACCTTAGTTCTTTCTCTTCATTCTGTAGGCAGCCTCTCTCTTCAGATCAGTCCATGAACTAGAATGTATTTTATTTTACACTCTAGTAGCTCATATTTTTGAGGCCTTCTGCATGTCTAACATTCACAGGAAAATAAGTTGTTTCTTCTGGACATCTCCAGACTGTGTGGCATTTTGTAAAGAACAGGGCAATCAGATTCAGAAGGCGCTGGCTGCGCTGGATTATCCCGTCCGGGGCTGTGTGTTTGTTTTCTGATGAAACGGCCTTTGCCAACAATACCTATCTCATTTTACTTAGTGTGAGTGTGCTTTGTTGCTAATAGAATTCGGGAAGGTAAAAATCTTGTATTCCTTTTATAAATCCAACCTGGATGACATATTTTGACAATCACTGGCATTTTGCAGTAAGTATATATTATTTAAGAATATTTGCCTTTCCCAAACTTTTCAAATTGTATATGTTTGGGTAAGTAGTGTTTGGAAATTAAATATAGTCAGAGATCCTGTTACATTCATATGACTAAAGAATAGATCACATTTATCATCAGATAGCAATGGGATATTTAAATTGTACATTTCAGGGACTACGTGATGAAGAGTTTTATTTCTCTTCATATAAAAGAGCTAAGATTTTTTGTTTCTTTGTTTTTTACTTTACCATTATGTTTTATGGATCATAATGACTGGAAGAAACAACGTGACCAGTAAAGTCTCCGATTAGGACTATTTATCTTTTTGTTGCTAGAAGCCCACTATTTTGCATTTGCGGTTGAAATCAAATTATTTTCTTTTAAATAAGCATATAAGATGATTTTTGAGTCCCAACCACTCGGCAGTGTTTTCCTCTGTCATTGCTCCTTGGTATTTATGAACTATGAGAGAAAGCTGAATTACATTTTCTTAGGACACTTAATTAACAAAAACTGGAAACACAGGAAGGGCTGGAGAATTTCTCTGTAAGTGGAGAACTGCTTTTTGTAAATATATCACAGTAATTTCTCAAATGGAAATGTTTTAATTTACTACTTACCAACTATTTCTGAGTCATGGTGTCTGCTTTTAGGGGACAGAAGTATTATTTTAATTTGATTTCTGACTAGTGATTTTTGAATCTGATTTAATTCCAAATATAGATATGGCAGATATTTTCTTTCTAGGAATAGAAACAACTAAAAGGATATCAGATTGATACGAAAACAGGAGGCCTTTCAAATACCAAGGGCAGACAGATAAATGCACATAAGTAATAGTCCTTGTGGAGGAATAAGACAGCTTAAACATGGGATTCTTATAAGTATTAAGTATAGAAATATACTTTATGAATTATAAATTAGTACTAATTAGTGAAGGATAAGCATTGAGTACAAATTTAACTTCTGGAACCTTCAAGTCATCATTTTGGACAGCCAAGTTTTTTAGACAAGGTTATAGCTTCAAATGATGACTTTTTAGAAAAAAATAGTTTTAGATATTTTTTTCTAATAATTATCTGCCTTATTAATCAGAGCATAGTGAACTTAACTTTTTTATATTCCTCAGCATTATTATGAGCATAAAGGGCTGCATTACTACTCATTGAATTTAAGAGGATATTCCAATACCAGAGAAATCCAAATAGCGACATTTTCTGAATACCCATTTTTATTGTAGAGGTGGAAATATCTGTAAAAAAAAGAATAAGTAGGTTCTAGTAATGGCCTTGTCTACCTTTTTAATCTTTTCCTCTACTGGGAAGAATTTTCAAGCAAGATCTGTGCGTACCCATCTTAAATTTCCAAACCATAATGGCGACATGAAACTCATCAGGCTTGATGTCACGCCCGGCAGTAGATGGTGCTTCGCTGTTGCCTTCTAATGGCAGGGGCTAATGTGATCACCTGCTCTGAATCCCACACGCTTTTGCATTAGTAACAACTCACGATTCAATTCAGGAAACATTTTTGAGTATCTATGTACTCATTAATGAAGGACGAAAAGGAAACCTAAAAGTTAATTCTCTCAAAGGATTTTAATCTTAGACTGTGGCAAGTCTTGTTATCAGCTAACTACAGTGCAAGGCTGAACAAATAAACCCCCCTGGCTTCCCAAACTCCAGTGATGTCTTTTGAATAAATACAGGCAGGTCTGTGGCGAGTTTTTATTTAGTTGTGTGTGTGTACTATATATACATATGCAATACATTACATGCAATATATATGCATTAGATGTATATGTATATATTTATATAAATATTTTGGCCTTATATTCATCTAACATTTTCTGTTTGATTCAACAGAAATCTTCTTGACAGAGACACATTTTCTAAATCTGATCCAAGTAAGTATCTGTTTACTTGCTTTTGATATTCTATTTATTTTACTTTCTGATTTTGCAACAATTGTATGGAACTCATAATTTTTGTTTAAATATTTGTTTTAAAGCCTGGAAAGAAAGAAGGGGGCTGGACTCAAGCCCTGTGTGCCCATCTCCCTGGGCAGTACTCTACCTAAAGAGGGAGTTGCTCAGCTTTTTGAGAGTAGGATGGAAGTGCAGATGACTCCAATGCAGGACAGTTCACCTTTGAATTACAGTCTCATGCTATGGCCAGGTGGCAGAAATCATATTTGAAAAACAATTGTATGTGTTTAAATGTTTTAGTCACAGAGTAATACTCTTCCTTTTTTTTTTGTAAATAAAAGGAGTGTATGAGGCATATATAATTACATGAAATATATAACATCTTGTATAAGGTGAAATTTTTGATGCCTAAATAGAGATTTTGAAAATCAGAGATAATTTGTAAAATAAAAAAAGATAGTTTAAATTAGAAAACAGCCAAATTAATGTATAAATCGGTTAGTACAAATTGGATACTATTTAGAAGTTGATATCCAACTGCTTTCCATCTCCACAAGTGTATGAAAAAATGTGGGTTAATTATAGGGGAAAGGTTTTGCCAGATGTTAGAATTCTTGAGGTACTCATTGGGAGATGGTATTATAATTTGTGGGTATTAAGTTTTCTATAGCTCATTTGATAAATAAGTGGGACTTTTTTTGTAATTCCTTAATCTTTACCCCAAACCCTTAATCTCCCATTTGCATCTTCTCTTTATGGTTAACAGGATTTCCTACCTGTTTACAAATGTGGTATACCTTGGAGAAACACCTTGGAGAGTTCAGTTTCAGACCACCACAATAAAACGAGTATCTCTATAAAGAGCACACAGATTTTTTTTGTATCCCATTGCATATAAAAAGTTATGTTAACACAAGAATGTAGTCTGTTAAGTATGCAATAGCATTATGTCTAAAAATATACACACCTTAAGTAAAAAATAATATACTAACAAATGCTAGCCATTATTTGAGCTTTCAGTGAGTAGTAAATTTTTGGCTGGTGGAGGGTCTTGCCTTGAAGTTGATGGCTGCTGACTGATTGGAGTGGTGGTTGCTAAAGTTTGGGATGGTTGTGGCGATTTCTTAAAATAAGACAACAAAGAAGTCTGGTGCATCAGTTGACTCTTCATGAACAATTTCTCTGTAGCACGCAGTACTATTTGATAGCATTTACCCATACTAGAACTTCTTTAAAAATTGAAGTCAATCCTTTCAAGCCCTGATGCTGCTTTATCAATAAGTTTATGTAATATTCTAAATCCTGGGTTGCCATTTCACCGTATCTTAAGTAGGGGTAGATTCCATCTCAAGAGACCACTTTCTTTGCTCATCCATGAGAAGCAACTCCTCATCTGTTAAAGTTTTATGATGCAGTCACAGCAATTCAGTCACATCTTCAGACTCTACTGCTAATGCTTAGCCCTCTGGCTATTTCCACCCCATCTGCAGTTACTTCCTCCGCTGAAGTCACGCTCCTCAAAGTTATCCGTGAGGATTGGAGTCAACTTCTTCCAAACTCCTGTTAATGTTGAGATTTTGCCCTTGCCCCATGAATCAAAGAAGTTCTTAATGGGATCTAGACGGTGAATCCTTTTCAGGAGGATTTCCATTTGTTTCACCCAGATATAACAGAGGAATCGCTCTCTATGGCAGCTATAGCCTTATGAACTATATTTCTTAAGTAATAAGACCTGAAAGTTGAAATTACTCCTTAATACGTGGGGCTGAAGAATGGCTGTTGTGTTAGCAGGCATGAAAACAACAACAACCTCATCGTATATCTCCAGCAGAGCTCTTGGATGACCACGTGTAGTGTGGATGAGCAGTAATATTTTGAAAGGAATCTTTTCTTGTCTGAGCAGTAGGTCTCAACAGTGGGCTTAAAATATTCAGTAAATCATGTTGTAACCAGATGTGCTGTCATCTAGGTTTTGTTGTAGACTTAGCATAATTCCTAAGGGCCCTAGGATTTTCTGAATGGAAAATGAGCACTGGCTTGAACTTTAAATCACCCGCTGCTTTAGCCCCTAACAAGAGAATTAGCCTGTCTTTTGAAGCCTTGAAGCCAGGCATTCATTTTCTTTCCTGAAACCTCATGAATCAAGCTCTGCAGCTTCCTCACCTCCCTCAGGCTTCAGAGAACTGAAGCGAGTTAGGGCCTTGCTCTGGATTAGGCTTTGGCTTAAGGGAATGCTGTGGTTGATTTGATCTGTCCAGACCACTAGAACTTTCTCCATGTCAGCAAGAAGGCTGTTTTGCTTTCTTATCACTTGTGTGTTCACTGGAATAGCACTTTTAATTTCCTTCAATAACTTTTCCTTTTGCATTTACAACTTGGCTAACTGGCAGAAGGGGCTTAGGGCCTGCCTTGGCTTTTGACAGACCTTCCTCACTCAGCTTTATCATTTTTAGCTTTTGATTAAAGTGAGAGTCGTACAACTCTTTCTTTCACTTGAGTATTTAGGGGCCATTGTATGGTTATCATTGGCTTAACTTCACTCTGGTTGTGTCTCAGGGAAGAGGGAGGCCCAAGGAGAGGAAGAAGGGCCTGGGAACAACTGGTCAGTGGAACAGTCAGAACACACACACATTTATCAACTAAGTTTGCCATCTTATATTGGCACCCCAAAGCAATTATAATAGCATGATCACAGATCACCAAAATCAAAATAACAATAATGAAAATATTTGCAGTATTGAGAGAATTACCTAAATGTGACACAGAGGCACGAAGTGAGCAAATGCCGTTGGAGAAATGGTACCGATTGTCTTGATTAACACAAAGTTGTCACAAACTTTTTATTGTAAAAAAAAAAAAGCAATATCTACTAAGTACAATAAAATGAGGTATGACTATTTAGGATGGGAGTATAATTTGTTCTAGGTTGTTCTAGGTTGTACAGTAGGTATTTAGGAAAAATTTCTGACATGTCTAGTAGCATACTGAAATGTCTTAAACCATAGTTTTAAAAGTTATCTACATCTGTAGCATAATGTAGAGACATTAGTAAATTATTCTTATATTTTTTTATGTGCCAAGCTCTCTATCTAATTAAGTTTTAAAGATCTGATATAGTTTGTTTTTTGTTTCTTTACACAAAAAAAATTCAGCCATTTAATGATTTACTAGCAATTTTCTGGCAAGAGGAGGGCCGGGAATTAGGAATTAATTTTGGTGTTGTTTTCGAACAGTAGAAAAATAAATGATGCATCCATATCTGATTTTTATAAATGACATATGTATGTTTTTCATCTTTTGTAGTTTGTGTCTTATATATACAAGGAGTCGGAAATAAAGAATGGAGAGAGGTAAGAATTAAAATTTTTTAAAAATCACTGTGCTGGAAGGCAGGGTATAAGTTACAATTTGAGGATGATACTTTCCTGGTTTAGTTATTTTAAGTCTTTTTAAATCCAAAATGAATTTCTGCTTCATTTTGTGAAAGCAACTGTTGTGTTTTATTTTTAATAATCCTGAATATTTGGCTCATTTATGACTTTCCTGTGGAATATTCTAGTCTTGAAACTTGTATTTTCCTCAGTTAAAAGTAAATTTAATGTGTTTCAATTCTTATGTAACTGAAGTCTTACTTTTGCAGGTCAACTGCTGATTTTCTAAAATACCATTTTAAAGGGGGAGGGGTTTAAGTGTGCTGCATGATATCAACTATCACCTGCTTATTGCCAACTTATTATTTGAAAATAAAGTAGAAACTTAGTTTCCTAATACAAATATACTTTGTTTAATAAAGCAAAAGCAATGAGGCAGAATTTCTGTTTTAGTCCATTTACTTTCTAATGCATGTCTGGGTTCCAATGCAAACATGGATGCTGGAGGGGAGGGGAGCATATTCAAATAAAAGGCCTTTCCATCTGCTTGTAGCTGCTGGTTACCCCAGGAATTTAGTGCATTGTTTTAATGAGGTTACAGCTTCTGGTGAGATTTCCCTGGTGAGATCCGTGCTCTTTGTCGCCACAGATTGCTTTGCAGCCAGCCATTTTACCCATGTGTCTCAATCGTGAGAGCGAGGCCCAGAGCAGATCATTATAATTTATCCTCGAAACTGAGAGAGCAAACCAATTCAAAAAATGTCTCTACTGATAATGGGTAGGTGGGATACTGACCACCAGTTTCTCTTACCTAATTGCTTCCGGTGATTCGATATTTATGTCAAACTTTGCATATTCAAGTGTCAGCTCACCAGGCTTGCTTCTTCTTCGCTCCAATATAGCTGATGACATCACCAGCCAGAATACCCAACTGCAGTTTTTGCAGCCATCCTTGACTTTCTTCCTACACCTCCTTCATTTAATCGGTTATTGAGTGTTATGAATTCTTTTTCATAAAAAATATCTCAGATAAGCCGTCTCCTTTATTCAGACCCATGTTATCTTTTGTTTTCTTATGAGTCTCTGTCCCTCTGTCTTGTTCCTCTAGTTATTCCTTTGATTATTTTCCTGAGGGATATGCTTTTCTTTTGTTATTTGCTCTACAGCTCATTTTCTCAAAGGCCTGGGACAATGCGGTGGAACTGCTGACTGACCATAGGTCAGGAGTATTTAGAAAAGAGCATTATTTTACCAGGGGTGTTTAGAAAATAGCATTACTTGAGGGGCCAATAAAGGACTGAGATAAGATCCATAGGTACAGGAATAGGCATCTGGACCAAAGCAAATGCCTAACGATGAGGCTTTCCTGATGCTTAAGCAATGAGAAACAGATTTCTTACTTAATTTACAAGGTCTTTTGTGATAATAATGACTAATGTTGTAAGCCCTTTAGGTATATTGACTAATTTAATTTGCACAACAGCCCTAAGGGGCTTATTTTACCCCCGAGGAAACGGAAGCGCAGGAAGCTTAGGTGATTTGACAAGAATTACCCAGTGGTAAAACACAGAGTAGAGATTTCAACCCAGGCCATTTGGCGTCAGGGCCTCTGCTCTTAGACCACCTTGCTTTCCAGAACCCTTTTCTAATCCCAACCTTTATGTTTTGGTTTTATTAATGGAAGGACATTCTATAAATTGATCTTTGGAGCTTTATACTTACTCTTTAAGGTTTGACTCTGAAGGACAGACAGTAGGAGAGGGAGGCCTACTATTGTGTAATTACAAACAATAGTGTGGTGACTGGTGTGAGGGGAGGTGGGTGAGGGAAGAGAGTCTATGGGGGATACATGGTGATGGGATAAAATAAATAAATAAAAATAAAAACAGGAAACGATATTTTGCCTGTTTATTTTTTCTCTTTGAAGGAATAGAAAGTACTAGTAAGAGGCAATAACATTCAAATGGGGTTATATAAACAAAGTAGAAATTGAGAAAGTGACAAGAAATAGGACGCAGAATCATACAGAGTGAGTGGAAGGCAGGTGGACAATATGGGGAAATGCCAGTTAAGAGGCAATTTCAGTAGAATTGCAAAAGAATTAAAAGTGTTAAGAACTAGAGAGTGATCTGCAAGAATAGAAAGGAAATGCCAGATGCAAGAGACAAGCATTTTGTAGCTAAAATCTCTTGTGTTTAGCAGCTAATTGATCATGCTGGATAAAGGAAAGAGATGGAAAAATGAAATACGCTATGTATGTTATTCAATTATCCCAAACCACTTGAGAAAGACAGTTTCCTTATTTTGAGCGCCGGTGTAATAGAGCGATTAAGAGAGTGCACCTGTCCTCTCAGTGTTTCTGTTTCCCCCTCTGTAACGTGGGGAATGAGATAATGATTCTAGCTCATGTGGTTGCTCTGAGGATGAAATGTGAACCACCCATAATGACTGCGTGTCTGGCATATAGTCAGCAGTATATGATTTCAGATACATTGGAACTCTAAGAGATCAGAAAAATTTCATAAGCATAATAAAACTAGTAAGTGGCAGGTAAGTAAATTCCTGCATTATATATTCCGTAAAATTCATTGCACATGTTGATGGGAAAATGACCTAAGGGATTTACTTGGCCTCAAACCTAATATAAAGCTGTGATGTTATACAGCTGCTAAAAAGCTAATGCAATATGAGGATTCATTGATGGATGTGCAGTGCTTACATCAAGGAAGATAATGCTGTTAATGTCAAGCTATATGAAATTGTCATTTTTGTAGGTCAAAAATGGTTGTATTGGCAATTTCATGTCATTGAATCAAACACTATTGTATTTTGCTTTGGCGGGAGCAAACCTAGAATGTTATTTTTCAACCATTCAAATGCCAAGTGTGTATTTAAGGAGGGCTACCATCTTGAAGAAAGGTGTGGAAGTTATGCCATATCAATGAATGAATGTGAAACCTGAAAAATACAAAGATTCTGAATAGAATAGTCATACTTATTATCCTCAAATTCTTATTTTCATTTAGAAATGGGGCTATACTTGACATTCAAACAAACAAACAAACAAAAAGGGAAACAAAAAATTTGGCCCAAACGATGGAAGGACAAAAAGGCTTTATGTAGTCCACTGTGAAGAAAACATTGGTAACATTTATTTATTTATTTTTATTTTTTTAAAAAATATATGTCTTTATTGATTTCAGAGAGGAAGGGAGAGGAGGAGAGAGAGAAACATCAATGATGAGAGAGAATCATTGATCGGCTGCCTCCTGCATGCCCCCCCACTGGGGATCGAGCCCACAACCCAGGCATGTGTCCTTGGCCGGAATCGAACTTGGGACCCTTCAGTCCGCAGGCCGACGCTCTATCCACTGAGCCAAGCCGGCCAGGGCAACATTGGTAACATTTAGAGCATTCCACAGTAGAACAGGTTTTTAGAACTGTACCCTGGACTCTAGTGGTTGTCCTGCATTCAAACAGGTGTTAGACTGATTCACCAGGTAAGAAGTTGCACTTGATCGGCTCTAATTTCCTTCCAAGTCTGTGATTTTATGGTGGGTACTCATCAGTTCACCCAAGTATCTTTTAAGCATTGTACATTTTTAAAAAATATAATAGCAAAAATCAGTATAATAAAGTGTGTGTGTGGGAGGGTGCGGAGGAGGGGCGGGGAGCTTTCCTCCACCCTTCTAGCTTCTTCTGGTTGGTCTAATAATAAAATAGACAGGAGGCAAATTAACAAAAGAAAATGTCCAAATTTAATTACAAATGTGCTTATGGGAGCCCCACATGCATGAGAGAGTTACAGACCCAACATACCCAAGGGGTTCAGCTACACAAAGGTAAAATGAGGCATATATGGCATTCTGAGCTAAGGATGAGGTGAGGCACCTTGGTGCTTCAGAGGTGAGGAAGGTCATTGCAGGATGGTAAGAAGCACACCTGGCCGCCGAAACCGGTTTGGCTCAGTGGATAGAGCGTCGGCCTGCGGACTGAAAGGTCCCAGGTTCGATTCCGGAAAAGGGCATGTACCTGGGTTGCGGGCACATCCCCAGTAGGAGATGTGCAGGAGGCAGCTGATCGATGTTTCTCTCTCATCGATGTTTCTAACTCTCTATCCCTCTCCCCTCCTCTCTGTAAAAAATCAATAAAAAATATATATAAAAAAAACTTAGCTTTAAAACAAAAAAAAAAGAAGCACACCTGGCCAATAATTAAAAGTTTGCCCTGTCCTGTAGACAGGCCATAAACAGCTTTTTCTGGTGATAATTCTTTTTCTGGGCTGGGGCCGTTATTTAAATTCTTTAAAGGAGAGGGAAAAGGTTCTCTTGGGCCCTCAAGGTCTCAGTTGCTTTCAGCTTAAAATAATTCATACGCCTCAGGGCCTCACCTTGAGGAGGACTGGTTTGAACAGCCTGGATAATTATTCTCAGGGTATTTGGCATCAGACAAGTGAAAGGATATTATAGATGCTTGATTAATAATTTTAAATCTATCCATCCACTTATCTATTTAACCTGTATTTACTGGGTGGCTCTCAGCGGTAGTGATGTGTAAAAATGTAAATTAGACAATATTTCTACCTCAAAGAACATGCAATATCGTTGGAGAATTTTATCAGGAACGTCAGTATGTTTATGCAATCAAGTTACTGATTTAGGTGTCAGCACTGTGTCAATAATATAGGGGTTGTGTTTGTGTTTGAATTTAGATGTGTTCTTGAAAAATATGTAGTAACTAGCCACATGATTTTATGTTCTGGGATGAATTACTTTTAGATATTAAAAAGGAATAAAAAAAATAGAAAGGGGCCTAACATGTTGAAACAAATCCTCCAAATAAAGTGACAGAAAAATTAGTTTAAGTTATTCTATAGCTGAAATCTGCAATTTTAAAATTATATCTGACACTTTTAGAATTACATGAATATCAGTAAATTCTATTTAATGATTGTGAATTATCAAAAGCTCTCAAAGTAA